CAAGACTAGTTCCATTTTCTGCAAGAAAAGGCTTGCACATCAATGCGTATAATTATATAAATACGGTATTGAATTTGATAATGATACACGTACATGTACATGTACATATGGGCTCCCGTAAGAAGACCATAGGTCTGTGGGAAACACCCTAGTAAAATAAATAAAATAATAATAATAATATCCTTTTAATAGCCAAAAAAAACAAAAGAAATTATAGCAATAAAAACTGCTTTATGGCAGTTTTCTAAAAAAAGTTATTGTGTTCTAGTCCATGGACCCCGTCTAAAAAGTAAGAAATTAACGAAATGTGATAGCCGAAAATTAAAATTTCACACAAAACCTCACAATAATCACAACACTTGAAATGCTGCTTTCGACACTAAACTTGTACTGCACCAACAATTGGCAACATGCAGTCATGCATGCATAGGAAAGAGGATCACGAGGGGAAAAGGTCTTCTACATGTAGCTTTTCATTCTGTGTGTAATTATTGTGAGGTTTTGTGTGAAATTTTAATTTTCGGCTATCACATTTCGTTAATTTCTTACTTTTTAGACGGGGTCCATGGACTAGAACACAATAACTTTTTTTAGAAAACTGCCATAAAGCAGTTTTTATTGCTATAATGGATAGTGCATGCAGGGTCAGGGACTGAAAGTCGCACGCTAAGTAAGGGCAACTTGTCAGTGCACATCTACGATGTCCGAATAAAACGAATGCAAGGAAAGTGAACTTGTTGCTGTACATCTACGAAGTGCGAATCAGGGATTAGTATAATGACACGTGTACTAGTCCACCTTGTGTTGCACTGCGTCTTTTCCGCAGGGCCACTGAAGGTCGCACGCTCCGCGTGCGTATGCGCGCATGCGCAATATGTCACTGCACATCTACGATGTTCAAATCAGGGAGTAGTACGTATTTTACTACTGGTACGAATGCACCGAACGTGCACAAGTGCACGTTCGCCACGGAAAAGAACATGATGACATTTATGGCATGACAGGGTCAAAGGTCAAACCCTGGGGGAGTCCCGGGGCCAGACCAAGCGCGCCCGATACAGTGTGCCTTATTTAACCCAAAGGTCAAAGGTCAAACCCTGGGGGAAGTCCCGGGGCCAGACCCAGCACGACCGACACAGTGTGCCTTATTTGGCCCAAAGGTCAAAGGTCAAAAAGTGTGCCAGAACCTGCCCCGCACTTACTACTCCCGTCTCCTCCCATCCCTCGTCTCACGTTCCTGTTGTGTATTCCGTTGGCTCGGTACTTCCGTACTGAAATAGGTCATGGTGTAATTAGCAGTTGTTCTTCTGGGTCTCGTTGATATTGAGGTAGGTATTGTTGTCGTCTCTGCCGGTGATGCAGCAAGCGATGCTGATGCAAACGTGTCTACATGCAACACACGTGGCGTCGCCAAAGCCACATCCACCTCCGCTGGTGGAGGGAGTGACTTGGTCATGGCCACGGGAGCCAATGGTGGACTTGTCGAGTGAGACGCTAAGTCCTGTGTTGGCGGAGGTAGTGGTTGTTTACGGGGTCTTCCCCGCGTGGGACGCTCCAGTTGTGCGCTACGTGGGATAATGTGTAAAGGAGTGTGTTGCTTGATGCGTTCGCTCAGGTGCTGAACAGTCCTACCAACATACCGGCCCCCATTCAAAACCGATCACATCCACAAGAAGGTACAGTATCTCATTCGCAAATATCAGCTGAACACCCACATCCTATACAAGAATGCTCGGCTCAGCTCGCGGGTTTGCAGGTCTGCTTTGGAGAAGCCCCTATGCCGCAAATTCGTTGATCCACAGCAGCCAAGGAGAAGGGGAAGACCGAAATCAGCTTGCGTGGCATGTACAGCAGGTGCAGTGGACTGCACCCGCCGAAACGGGGTATACCACCTCGAGTGCCGTTGCGGTGATGACTATGTGGGTGAAACTGGCCGAAGCGTTGCGACAAGGTCAAGGGAGCACAACGATAATGCACGCAACGAGGTCCGAGGAAAGGCGCTGGGTGAGCATTACCGGATCTTCCATGCCGATGAGCCATTGTCGCTGGGGCAGACCGGATTCGCCAACGTCTGTGTGCTTGCGACAGAGCCAGACAGGGCAAGGAGAAGGATTCGGGAAGCGGTCAAGATCCGGGACATGGAGCCTAATATCAACACCAGCAGTGGTTGGGATCTCCTGTGAACTCTGGTTGCCTGGCTTTTTCATTGGAGTGATAGCTATCCATGTGAAACCTTAGCACCCACAAATTGTACGTATCACCACCCTAGACTTTAGCATTATGTTAGCACTGTCCTCACTACTGTAGTCATGTGGCTGTTGCCGGGGTTTTTTTCTTCTCTCGCCTGAGAGTGTCCCCCCCCCCCTCCCCCTGCTGTATTCCACAGGTTGTACATAATTATCACCGCCCTGGTCTCTCATACGGAGGACTAGCACCCCTATTGTGATCATGCAGCATGTGTCATTTTTCGCATGGGAGTTGTTGTTTTTTGTTTTTGTTTTTCCCCGCTGTATTCCGCACGCACCTAGCCAACTTGTTCCTGAAGATGGTCAGAGTGACCGAAACGTTGAGAAGAAAGAAGAATTGTTCAGCTGTGTGAAGAAGCAGTGCATCTGAGTGTTGGCCAGTGTTGCCACAATACAAGTTGCTATAATGAAGCTGCGTGAAGCGTTGTTCCGAATTTATAATAATAAGGCCAAAACAAAAAATAGGCTTGTTTCCGGTCGGCAACCCCTCAAAAAGGAGACTCGGTCGGCCGGAATGAAACTTTTTTTGGATACTTTTTTTGGTTCCTCAATCGGTGTGGTATTGATGGACAAGGGCACCTACACATGTACATTGTACATATATCATGGCAAGGATCAATGTCAAAGTTGACTGACTCACTGTTCTTGTACAGCATGTGGTGTATTCCTGTTTTCGTACATCCTGAGAAATAAAGCAAACAGCTCGAGTCCTTCCAGCTCCGTTATTCTAGCTCGTATCGACCCCGGAGGTTTTCGAGCAGACCGCTGAGAATCTCTGCTACCTTGTAGGTGTTTCGATTGTGGAATTCGGTTGAGATTTGACTGAGTTATGACTCGTTGAGTGCACTTGCACACATGGCATTGCAACCGTTTGTATACATTTGGGACCAAAAAAGTTTCAGAATTTGGGAAAAAGTGGCCCGGTCGGCCAACCGGAAACAAGGTCATTATTAATTTTGTTTTGGCCTAATAATAATAATAATAATAATAATAATAATAATATACAAAAAGTACCGTGCACTGCCACTGAGTCGTGCACTACAACAATCCCTGGTAATGGTTCAGTGTAGATCTGTTCCGGCCCGTCCGTCGATTCTGCCCATCCTGAGAAGGGCAGGTGCCGATCTCAGGATGGGCAAGGGGGGGGGGGGGTGCCGATCTTAGGATGGGATAGCATGATAGGTTCATGATGGGGATGCCGCGCGCGGCGATCGATCGATCCGAGATTCGCCTGCCTATCCTAGGATGGGCATTAGCCCTGCCCATCTTAGGATGGGCAAAATCGTTGGACAGGTTCCTGCACGAGTACGAGGGCAGTACAATGTACCGCGGAATCCAGCCCGCGCCGCGATAGCGGCAAGGGCTGGATGAACAGCGGTACTGGCCGAGTATGAGTGACTGGAACGTGTTTCCCGTGTGCACCCAAGCCAAATAAAGAGATACATGTACATGACAGACACACCTGCATTGTGTTTTGTGATTGTTTTCTGGTACAGTTTTTTCGTAGTACTACTAGTAGTCCATAGTGCTTTTTTTCTCGTGGGGTCATTGACATGCGTTGTCGACTGGGCTTCAATTCAGGCACTCTGGCTGTTCTGTTCCTACGGATTCTTCCCACGTCTTGATCGGAAACCTCGGCAAATAATTGCGCGCGTCCTGCAGTTTGCTGAGCATTGCGCGCTTTGGTTGAGGCTCATCCGGCTCGTCCAAGATCTCCTTCGCGAGCGACTCCGCAATAAAAGTTTCAGTCTCAACCTCAACCTTTCGGAGGAGCTCATTCACATCGCCAATATCGTTCAAAAAAGGGGCTTCTTTTCTCCCAGTTCCAGATCAAATGTTGGAGCGCCATGATGACAGTCGTGGTTGCAAACAGTCGCTCATCTGCTTTCTTTATTTTATTACTAGTAACCAATGAAAAAC